AGCACAAAACACTGTCCGCCTTGTGGCGAAGCTCCCAATGCACTGCCGGCCAGCGCTTCAAACATAACTAGACTGAAACCAATGCATGGACGCCTTTAGCCCCACCAGCGATGAGCCACCTCTATACGTATCTTGCTTGATGTCGTTTGCTTTCTGGATTATGATAATTACTTGTCGAATCCACATCCATGGGTCCATTAAGTCCACAGTCAGGTTGTTACATATGCGCAGGCTCAACACTTAGTCCAGTAATTTTGGGAGCCACCAGACCATTCTGGCCCAGATTCTGACACCTCCAACCTCCTACCGACTCGTTAACCAAGGCCAGCTGTCCAATTGGCCCAAGAGCAATTCGTGAGATGTATCTCATGCATACATGTTTCTTCAAGAAAACTTAAGAAACAGTCAGATCCACAACACGCTGATGTGGCATTCCACCATCAATGTACGGTGCTGTGTCGATCGTCCGACATTGCAAAGAAAGCACTAACTGAACGTGAGCACGCCCGCACAGCGTTTCAAGGATAACGCATGGCGCAAAAAATCTCAGGTGAAAGAGCCATAAACCACATCTGGCCATGGACCCATAATCGGCCCATATCCCACTCCGTTCCCCTCTCAGAATTTCCCAACTTCTGATCTCGTTGTTTCTTCTTCTTTTATATCTTTCGACAACAGCACACCACATGCAGCTGGATCTTGCTTTTGCCTCTTTCAATTCATGGTTGCGGACAACAACTCAATGGGAAATGATTTGGTTGTTTATGGGATTAACTATCTTGTTAAGTGGTTTCCGCCCAGGGCGACGAGGGGCGGGCGCGCTGGCCCACTTGGGCCAGCGCTGCTTAAAGTACAATGGTTTTGGCGGCCCCTTGGGGTTTCTGTCCCCCTGTACCTTGGGTCAGTGGCTGGTCCGTCGCGTTCAAGGAGGGCCAGTGGTTTTTGGCGCCCTTGGGAGCGGCGGGCTTTGGCGGGCGCGAGCGGGGAGGCTACTTAGGCTCACCCCTCAGTCCCCACCTTATCTTGTTTCGCTTCCCGCCCGGCCCCCCCTATTAGGGTGATGTTCGGTTGATTTGGGCAAGTGTGGGAGTTAAGGACGTGGAAATGAGGAGTGGTGGGTCTGACTCAAGGGTTGAGTCTTGTATGGGACTGGCTTAACTACTAGCGAAGCGATTGGGCACACTAAGTTGTGGGTACCTCGGGTTGTATTGGGACAAACAATGTCGTGTAATGTATTGGTCCAGTGTGTGTGTGGACCTGGGTGGGACAAGGAGCCCGGCCCGGCGGAAACACAATACAACACACTGAAAGCTGGCAGAGCTAGTTGTGTATGCAAAAACCGTTGAATTCCAGGTGCCGAACGAAACAACACAATTATTGCTTTGAACAAGTATGATTCCCAATTTTGCAGCCATCAGACCATGAGCATCAACACACCGTGTGGCACAATGGGATCCATGGGTCCAAAAGTTTTGGAAATTCAACTGCAATTTAGCCACCCTTTCTCCAAGAAAGGGTAAAAACTGTGTCCAGAGGGTTGAGTCAATCGCATGACGAAATTTGGTGATGCCTCCGCAGCTGCTATATGGCAATCGAATGCGCGCAATGATGGGCCACAACACAGCGCAATTCAAACACTCTTGGTTCGACCTTTGTGGCAACCTTAGTGCACACAGTGCTCAAACCCACTCGCCGTGCATGGTCGGACAAGCAGCCAAGACACAACTTGTCTTACAACCAAACCAAGAGAAGCCACGAACAAGTCTCGGGCTCTTTTCAAATACCAGAACACGTCTCTTTTCGCACACCAGAACTCACACTCAGAACGGCGGACTGAAATCACACTTCACACACGCACAACACGCTGCCCCACAGCACCGACCCATAGCATCGACCTACAGCAACGACCCACAACTCCAATTCACAGCACCAACTCAAGATCACCAAAATTAGCAAAAGTTGAAGCTAATCTTTGGGCAGCCCTTCTCCCTCCACCTCAATCAGGTCGACGAGTGCATCAGCCTGCCAGCACATGACCAGCTGCTTCCACAACATGGCAGCTGCGGCTGTCTTGTATGTCAGACTTTCATCTCTTCAAACTGGCCCTTTAATCTGTATTCACTTTTCTCATTGAGTTTCACTGCACATCAGTGTGCAGCCACCGACCTCCAGCCATGAGAACTGGAAAATTGCATGTGAAACATCAAGAAAAGGTGACAGCCATTCAAAGATATTGCTGATGGCATTCCTCGAAACGGGATTCTCATATGCCACCATTTAATCATCGGACTACAAATCAGTAATTGACGGAGGCAGATCAGTGGTCAATTACTGGTAATTCCAACACGCGTTCAAGCCAAAACAACACAGGGAACTGCCTGCACTCTGTTCGCGAAAGGTCGAGCACGTGGGTGGAAGTCAACCGTTTTTGGGCCAACAATCGAGGCGCTTCGTCGATATCAAAACTCTGGAGACGTTGGAACCAGATCTTCTCCTGCCATGGGGACCTTGGCCGCGCAATGTACAGTGGTACAACAACAATCTGCCCTCCACTCCTGGATCAACTGGCATCAACAAGTCAACTTGTGCCGACAGCCAAGTGCTCATCATATGACGCAGTAGGTGCACGGCATGAGCCAGGCAGTAGCACCGCCCTGCTTCGGACAAAGCAAAGGCGAACGGGCCAGAAATTGTGCTGCCCAGGCAGCAGTCATCAGACCTCGATACCATGGGCTCTTTTTGCAGGCCAGCGTTGCGCCTGAAAACCAGCATGCATCTTCGGGTGGCCCAGTCGTAATTGAGCAGATGTGGGCGCTGTGCCGCCCAACAGGAAGTGCATGGCAATGTGTGGCCCATATGTTTGTCCATGTCCCAATGAATGCTCAGCCTCAAAGAAGAGAGGCACGGCAATTCCGTCAAGGGGTGGACGCCGAGAGGGGGCAACATACGCCGTAGCCAATGGCAATGAATGTTTTGCTCCCATGATCCCAATCGACAAAATTGGACCCACGATCGCATCAGGGACATGTGCTGGTGACATCAACAGACGACCCAGGTCCATTCAGACTGGATGCTCTTGTGATCGCCAATCAGCCTTCGAGTTTCACTCTCAGACATCTGCTGATTGAGGCGGGTGGTTCGGGAAAGCACACATCTATGCCACATCTCTCCGGTTTCGGACAGATGAACACGCGATGACAGACAGTCCTTTCCTGGGCCGTAGCATTTCAGCAGCCATCAACGAACCCCTGCCCTCCAGACTGCCATCTCTACGTTCCTGGTTGCCCCTTGGGGTGGACAGCTACAGAGACAAATGGGAGGCCCGTCCTCAGGCAGGCCACCCACAGCAGGAGGCGCCTCCAGGCTTCGTCACAATACCTGCCCTCCTCTGAAGCCCACCGGGCCACGCACCACGGCTGGCTACACATCGAATGTGCACAAAACAATAGAATGTGCCGCAATGGCCTGCTCAAACTGCTACTACACCTTTTGTTACATGTGCCCACGCTCGTTTCAATCAAATCAAAATCTAATGGCTTCTAGAGATGAGCTTTGGTTCTTGAGCAGTCCTGCCATGTTCCCCTCCGTGAAGAGCATTATTGCACAATGGGCACATTGCCCAACATACACAAACACACACACCTGACGGTGGCGTACCATCAGATTGGCCATCGAAATTGTCAACGATCCCATCAATCCCAATATAATCATCCAATAGAGAGCCTGGCCTCGTTTAATCATCATGCAAGATGTGCTGTCCCTTCAGCCTTTCGCCTTGAACTCATGCCGGACGATGGTGAGATTCTGCACAGAAGCACTCAGACAACTGAGCAGCCGGCGAAAGAAACTGCAACTGGCCATCAGGTGGCAAACAGACATGCATGATGTTTGCAGGTGTTGCCAGCACCACAACACACCACTACAGCCAACCAAATGCAAGAAACATTTGTACATATGAACAACATCATCTGTGTTGGAGCACACTGTGATATGATCAATGCCGGGCCAGGACTCAATACCCGACAGCATCTTCTAGGTGCAAGATCAATGCTCTGCCATGTCAACTTTAGGTTGACGTAAACACAGGATTTCACTGTATCAAAGCAGTATTTTCTCAAATTCTCAACACCTGTATTCAGACCTCCAACAATGCCCATCAGTCAAGAGTACAGACGGCTCGTGCTGCTACCTGAGTGAATTTGTCCCTGTTCTTTGGGTCCAGGTTGCGTTGCACATCCTGCATGAGCTTCTCTAGCCAAGCAGACGCATGCTGTTGCCTATCTGCCGGTTGCATCGACACGAACTGGGACTTCAGCTGACTAAAAACCTCTTCGTTGATGAGTATCAAGCTGAGCATCGGCCGGCTGAGGCTCCACATATTGGTACAGTCCTCCTGTAATCCAGGTAAAGACACACAAGCGCATCAATGGAAGCGCATCAGTGCAAGTGTGTCAGTGCCAACGCATCAGCACACAAGTGGGTCAGTATGTCAGCAAAGCGAGCCACTGACAAGGGCACTGACCACCCAATGCACATAAGGGAGGCTCTTCCTGGTGGAAGGGTCTGGGCTCCACAACAGCTGCAGCAGCAGCTGAGCTCAGCACAGTCAATCACAATGTGGAAAGGACCAAGATAGCCTTTGTGGTCGAATGAGCCAGAATCCAATGGCAAAACATTTTGCAGCAATTTCGACCTGGCAACCCTATGAAACACTAGAAGTAATGGTCAACAATTCCCAATGCAAAAGCAGACATGCTCCTATCTTTCAAATCTATTTTTGTTGGATGGGTTGTTCTCTTCTGTGTACTGACAGAGGCAACATTGTTTCATGAAGCATGTCAGGCTTCATGGCTTTCAGGTTACCAACAACTTCTATTCTGATGTGTCACAAGATCGAAGCCCTGACTGCCTGGTTGCTAGACTCTCAGCAACCTGCGTCCACTTACAAACAAGACAATCTCGAAAAGTGTCTTGAGCATGGAAGGGAACATGTCTGGCGCCTGTCTTATGTGCTCCGCAAGTGCCTGGGCCGCCGGCGGAGGCGAATTGACGTCGATGGCGGCCACGACGTGCCGGAAGTAGTATGCAGCAAGGTGGTTAAGCGCCGCAGCGCACTGTGATGAGATCGTGACGTCCAAGGCCTTGAGGCCTGTCTCCAGAGCGGTCATCAGGAACACAAAAGTAGACTGCTCACAGGAGGCGATCACGGAGGTGTGGTGCTCACACAAGACGTCCACAAGGGAATAGAACGACTTGGACAGCTTCTTGTAGGCGATTATGTCATTCAAGGGAATGGAAAGAGCCATCTTCAGAGATATTTTGAGAGCGTCCTGCAGGCCAACCATGAACATGCAGAATTGACGCTCAAAAGCACATGACAATACAATACGCAGCTGAAAAAGAACAACATACCAAAACTATCAGAACTATTCTCCCACAGAGAACAAACAGGACCTGTAATGGATAACCCTCTTCCCCAACAAACTTCTCCAGACCCATTGTGATACTGTAAGTGGTGGTGCAGAAGGGCCAAGAGGAAGACAATCTCATTCGAAAATGCGCCTGCTAAGCTATCAGACACTTCTATGCCTGCTGAAACGAATTCATCTTTTCTCTAATCTCCTGGTAATTCTGTTCCCAACCCCTAGTAAATTGGGCAGGCAAAGCGCATCACAGGCGTGGAGCTACTGAATCTGATGATCTACACACTTGGAGTGGTGCCATGTACATGCACCTACCTCAAGTGCGCTGTCGCCGTACAGACCAAAGACCCCAAAGTTGACATAATTGCCAGCCAGGGCTCGAGTCAGGATCTGCAGGCATATCCAGATCCCCTTGTACTTGTGGTGGTAGATGTCAGGCACGTCCCCCTTCTGCAGCACGGCAGTCCCGTGTGTCACCAGCACCTTGGAGACCTCCCGGAAGAGGAGGATGCCATTAGGGGAGGACAGATCGAAGGACAGACGCTGTGTCTTGTTCTGCACAAACTCGGCCACAAACTTGAGCAGCGGGGTTGTCACGTCAGGCGTGTCAGACCAAGCCTCCAGGCATTTGAGGATCACCGGGAAGTGTGCGGGGTACAGCCAGTCAAACACAAGCCCTGAAGCACACGGGATCACAGGCAAATCATCAGCAGCATTGCATCAGCTGATATGTATTTTGCACTGGTTTTATGTAGTTGCAAGAATGCTGCCCATGTGCTGCAAACGAGGCTGTCTATCAAGAGCTGTGGTATCAGCGCTGCGAACAATGTGTTTTGGGGCGATGGCGAACACCAGTGCAATGCCGGGACGAATGATTGGTTGTGTCAGCTGCCTGTGAAAATTTGGCATCGCAACAAAACAACCTAACACAACATCTATTGTGTCTAGCCGCATCAGCCCCTCTGGAAGGCAGGGACTTGGCAAAGAAGTTTGTGATGAGCATGCTGCCACATGAGCCTCATTTTCCACAGTCGACCAGTGACGCAGCAAAACAGACCACGGGACTTGTGCATAAGTTGAATGGCAACCTTGTTCTTCATCGTACGTCAACATTATCACAGCGAATCATAGAACTGCGGATAGCCAAGTCAGTTGACACTTTGGCGCCAGCGGGCTTACCATATGGCCGGCGATTGCCGGCAGCTGACACCACTCCCCGCAAGTCCCTGAAAAGGCCCATCACCGTCTCCTTCGGCACAGACTGCCGGAGAGCAGGGGCGCTCATCGCATTCTGGCTAGCAGTGTGCAGGCCAACCAAAACCTGTTTTCACAAGGTAGACATCAGCAATGACGTTCAATCGACTGGCCTGTGAATTGCCACCATTGGCAGCAGGCCACTCATTCAAGCATTCGAGGTTGGCTGCACTCAAAGGATGAGCTCCAGGTTGTGGATGCAGGCATCCAATCGTAGCACTAATTCTTGCGGGATGGTCTTTGAAGTCAGTGCCGAAACCAACAACAGCAACAACGAATACAGTGCTACCATAAAGTCATGGACAGAATGCAGCTCCAGCATAAGGATTTGGGATGCAATCGTATTCAGTATTTGAATTTCTGTGAAATTCAGACACCACAAACCACCACCTGTCCGATTTTCAGCACAAAAGTTCCCCAAGCATTCTCCGCTCAGCAACTTCCCAGTCAACTTTGTAAAATTCACCAAGGGACTTGAAAACATGCTTCCTTCTTAGAGCTCAGCTTCCCAGATATGGGAACAAAGAAATCTCCGTGTGAACTGACTTGGCACACCAAAATGGCCATCCCTAAAGAGACGAATGGCTGCACAGCACCCATTGGCAGTGTTCCCACCTGCATAATCTGTAACAAATTCCTTTTGGACTACAACTACCATCTGAGGGCAGAACATCGGCCCTGCACCTGGAAGGCAGCAACGAGCACTTGTGTACTAAAGGCTTTGCCTGTTGCCCATCTATTCACACCTCTTCAATGCCAATTCACACCAAGCGCTGGCCGCACACAACACAAAAAACAGGCAAAGGCCCATTTGATTGGCTGGGTACAAGCCACGGCCAAGGCAGGTGCCTCTCCAATGCACGTGTTAGGTAACTTGCCTGCTGCATCGGCGCAACAAAAGTTTTAAATTTTGTGGGTGTGTCTTCCATGAACAGCAGCTTCGTGAGCGTGTTGTAGAATATGGTACGATTCCGAAAGCTGCCGGGCTGCCTCAGGAAGTCGAACCGGTCAGAGCTGTGGTGCTGCAGCAAGGCATTCACTGTGATAGGCCCTATGAGCAGCCGGCTCATCATCCACCGCAGAGTCCTGGGCTGTGACACAGTGGGCTTAACCTGGTTCGCACCATTACAACTGCCTTGCCCATGCATTGCCAAGGAGCACAATCCTGCAATCTGTCAATCAGTTATCTGCAAAATCCTTCAGTCTCAGAATCTTGCAGCCTGCCACCAGCTCCCTGAGAACTCCTGATGTTGCAATCCAGTCGTGCGCATTCCTGTTGCCCAGCAAGCATATGAATGCACTTACCTGAAACAAGCTTAGAGAGTTGTCTATGAGCGCATCGCACTCCCCGTATGCTCGCAGGTTGTTTGCAATGGTTTTCATTATTACGTTCAAGACAGCAAGGTGGTCCCTAATGCCTGGGAGGCTCTCGCCCAGTCGAGCATACACCTGCACACACAGTGCCACAAGAAGACTGCAAAAGCTGCAAGCGCATCAAAGGTATACCAGCTGAACATGCATTCACATATCCACCCCAACTGCACTTGTCAAGATACGGCTAAGCACTATGCCTGCACCTGCGCTGTGAAATCTGAGAGCAAGTGTCAAAACAAATTATTGTGGCATGTGTTTGTTTGCAGCTTTTTCCCTTCGTCAGATCCTGCATGTGGGCTGGTCCCGAAATTCGATTGCATCCACTGGGTTGTTCTTTCTGCCCAGGAGCCACCTACTTTGCGTTGCCGCCAAGGCAGAAATTTCTCTGAAACTAACTAACCTATGCAAGTAAGAATTAACAACATTTCCAGCAAACCAATGCATAGCTGAACTATATTACCACCAATTTAGTTTCGGTTTGCTCAAACTTGGCTTCAGTTTGGTGTTGACTCCAGATTGCAATGGACTGAGACCCTCGAAACAGCATATCAATTGTGGGCACCCGTACATTTGACTGCTGGCACGCACGCCAGACAAATACAGAGACAACAAATATAGTGTGGCAACCTGTTGGGATTCCCTTTTCGTAGATCGAGAAAGCTGCCAACCAGAAACAAGGTAAAGAGATTATCAGATAGCAGAACTACTTTATGTTAGGGATTGCTGCACACTGGGCTCCAGTTTCCAGGCGTTCTGTCTCTGAGGACCACATGCCATTCTTTGGGTATCTTGGGGGTCGCATGCCGCAGGGTGGCGTCAAGCGGATTCCCCTAAAACCCAAGCGTATGGCACCACGCTGGGTGCGATCGCGCACATGGCGTCATGCGTCCCAAGATACTTGCGGATTATCAATACAGAGACAATCACTGCTCTGAGGTGTGCCTCTGGCTCTTGTTGGCACACATGCAGCTGCCAATTATCAAAGCTCTGTGCGGTGGAACCAGGGTTGAATATACATTGGGGCGCACAGAGTGTCCAAACTTGACAGCAGCCACACTGTGTGCACAACCTGGCTTCTTGATGACAGTGACGCCAGTAGAGGGCCTTCCTGACAGCCCTTCTAACAATGCATGAACAAACTATGGAAGTTGCCTGCAAGTAGTCCTCTAGCACATTGCTTTCCCCTATGGAGGCTAGCAGCCAACACAACACGTGTCCGGCTGCCTTTGCCAGCATGTATACCCCCAACTGTGACGTGCGAATGGTGGTGCTCTACGATTTCCCCATGCAGCAGCGTAGTTATGGGTACCAGACTCAGGCGGCTGAACCTGCGCTTAAATGGGAGCTGGACAGCACCACACTCACTTCTATGTCCTTTGATGGCAGCGTGAACACCTTCAACATCTGGAACAAGAATGGAACAAAGCAATTAACCCCGCCTTCTACAAGCCCTCCCTTCTACACCTCCCAGGGAGTTTCGTGTCGCATCAGTGCTATCCATGCCTGCTTGCAATGCTTACATCCTGCGCTGAAAAGCCCTGTCTGTGCACCAAGCCTCACCAAAGCCACTGCCCACCAGTGCCCTTTGCATTGCTGCATGGGGTCGAAATCAGCTGGCATGAGCTGCAAAGCTGCGCGTATGCTGTGCATAGGTTAGGGACAGGATAATCGCGACCTTCACACGGCAACCTCTTTTTGAAGCTTAATCGGCTTTGGCACATTATTCGTGCACAATCGGCATATGATGCAACCATTGCGGGGGGTACAACCATAAAGCAGTGACCAATCGGCGTCTTCAAGCACAAGCGAACTGCTCAGGACTCTAGACACCTGTCACAGCCTGAAAAGAAGGCAGAAGATGCAACCATATCATAATCTGGCGTACAAATAGACTTCCACAATTGAGGAGCACCAACTCCATGGGCTAGTTGACAAGCCAAACATGGGGTGGGCTCATCATAACAACGTAGTGCTAGGGAGGCTATGTTAGCGGCAATGTATTCCATTTGCAGACTCCAAGTCACACAACTTGCCCTGACAAGTATTTCTTTCACACATATTTACTTCCCACATTCATGCTACCGCACTTATTTGTATCCCATCCTATTGTTCGCACACAATCGTATTGGCACCAGCATTGCCCTGGCATCACACCAGTAGTACATGTCACACTTAAACGGGGAAGCACTGATGGGGCAGCACACTAGCATGCACACGTACATTGGACCGACCCTGTGCAGACCAAAGGGGTCTTGTCCCAACCTTCCCAACCAATCAATGCGACCCCAGGGATATGTTCCCCTCCCCCCAAAATGGAAGCTGCCAGGCCCAGCTCCTCACCTTCGATGAATGCATTACTGTTTCTCCGACATACACTCTTCGGAAGCTCTGGAAGAAGGAGAGCACGGCCAAGTCCAGCCGTTGCCTTGATCTCTCCCTGAATCTCTGCTGGTGCAGCCCATTTTCCATCACCCCCAATAGGCGGAACACCCTTGCCGACAGATCGCCATCGAGTGCTTCCTGTATAATACAACAGTTGCGTCAGACAAGAACGCTATCCAAATTCAAGGCCACCATTTATTTGCCACCCACACTTCTAACAATTCACTGTGCACAGAAGACTCCCTTTGTAGTACGATTCAATGCTGCCACTGTTTGGCCTTAGCCATGTTACCCCTGGCAAAACTGTTAGCACTAGCAGTGGCTATGTGCCTATTGGGCTGTTCCTACAGTTCCTGATTGAACCCCCTGCTCACAAATACTGTGCCAGTAAAATTTGCACTCCAATGCAGCCCTGCATACACCAGCAAGCTGTACACAAGCCCCAGACAAGCCCAGTGCCTAGAACAGCGCTGCTATTGGCATTCATGCACTTACTTTCTTTGGCAAATGGCACTGCACTCGTGAGGTGTTCCTTTGTTCAGTACCCTAACGGCTCCACTCAGGCAGTCAAGTGCTCTGACAGCATTTCACTTCACTTATGCACAATACTGTGTGCAGCTAAAGTCTTCACTACCATTCATTTGCACTGCACTGTGACAATAGAGCTTAGCACATCCACAGAACTGCATGTTGACAGAACCCCGACGCCCAGCGATCTGCTGGTGCTTTCCTTCCAATGTTCTCAGAGCAAGATGCTGCCCCACTCCATTCCCCCCACCCATACAATCCAGCTGGAGAGTGCACAAAATGCTGCAATGTAAAAGAAAGAAAAATCAATAACTAGCATGTGACTGTCACAATTTTGCAATCTACCAAAATCTTTGCCTAGCTGAATTACCATGGCATGGGGCTTAGGCCTACACCACCCAGAGCTTGCTCACCATTGTTTCGCTGCTGCTAGTACTTAACCGCCCTCGAATGACCGCTCCAGTTATGTACACCAGCCATGTCAACTGGCCCTCCAAAACCGCAAGTTGCCGCGCATCTTGACCTGAATCGCATCAGCCATGCTCCCATCGCAATCTTGTGCCCAAAACCCAGCATCCCAGGGTGGACGCATTCGCACCACACATGTGTTCTGTGCTGCTGCGCTCAGTGTGCAAGCGAATACTTTACAACACAGGGCGTGGTTTATTTGTGCTTTGCCGTACTCTCATTCACCCATGTTCATGACTTCCTAGTGGCCATGAGCGCACACACATGGGATACTGTCCAAGACTCTTTCATACAGTCACTCTCTCCCGCCCCATCCTTGATTTGCACTTTGTGGCTTTTCCTGGGCTCTTGTGGATTCCTGTACAAGAACTCCTTGGCAAATTAATGTGTTTCTTATTTGAGAGCAGGGAGTTGATTGTAGCACACAATTTGTTCCTGACAACAACAGGCATCTGGCCCAGTATTGCTGCAAAAACTAGTCAAAAGTATTGAGACAAAACTTGCCTGCATGTTAATGCAAATGGTTTGTTAATGCAAATGTTAATGCAGTCTGGTTCCTGCATCTGACCCCAATCCTGTGCACTAAATCACCTGGTGGCTGGCCCGTGGACCAGTCTTGAAAACTCTTGGCAATGGGGTCCATCATGCTGCAAACGAGTGCACAAGTCTTGTCATACTGGAACCGAAAGAGGTGGGGGAGAGACTCCAGCTGGTCCTGCAGCTCGCCCTCATTGTCCAGGGGGTCTTCAGCCATTCCGTTTTGGAGCACAGCGCGAACACAATCCAGTCTGCATCGACATCAATATCGTTATCACAAAATGAGCAATGTCATACAGTGTGTATGCAAGGCTGCGTACTCCTTCGCAAGGCTGTTTTCCATTCCGTTGAAGGTGATGTGGAAGCCACAATCTGCATTCCACATCCACATTCTGTGCAGTGTTTTATATAATTTGGTGCCCAGCAACACCTTGTAGGTGCAAAAGCACTGTCTTGCATCGGAGGAACAACAAAATCCCAAATAATCAGCATGAGATGCCACCATCCATACAACATAGCACCTGCAACTATGGCAGGTGTTCCATTTTGAATGATCACCCTTGCACAGCTCAGCATTTGCAGAATCGGTCGGCCACATCAATGGTTTGCACCTCACCCTACACCTCCAAAACCCTGCAACAGAAAACACCACTTCCAGGCACTGCAGGTGGCCATGAACAACACACTGGACTTTTTGAATGGATGGCATCTTTGCATCCAAATGTCACATAAACTAATCCCATCATCTTCCACACATCACCTTGGATACCCAGGTGTTCAATACCTTGCTGCAACGCATGGAAGCCATGCTTCGTCGATTTCAGCAAAGAACAAACCAGAAGTAAGCACTAAGATTAGACATCTGCAGTATTCCCAACCTGGGTGCGATAGACACAGTTACATTCGGTTCTTAGCATTTCACACCGCTGTTCACATGCCCACTTCCCAAAGAAGGATGCAAGTTCTGGAAGTGCTCTGTGTTGCATGACTTTCCATGGATTCCATGGCTTCCCAGGTGCACCCTGAGACATCTACATAGTCTTCCATGCCATGGAATTGTGTCATAAAATCCCTGCTCAAGAGGTGGGCATTAGATGACACACTGTTTTGCTCTGAGCTATATTCCTCACAGTGCTATAACGTGCTCACCGGGAGGTCAGGTACGCATGGACAATCTTGGGCACATTTGTCTCCAATAGGGATGGTGAGTCACCCTTTAAGTAAGGCATTGAAGTCACCAGCCTAGACCATAGTGCCAACAGGTAGTACACACTGCCTGCAGCCCACTGCCAGGAGTTTAACGACTGTATGGTGAAGTTCGCCACAAGCTCGATCCATTCAGCGTAGTTTTCCACATTCACCTGCCCAACAGCAAAAGAAAAAGGGTCAACCAAGAATATAGCATGCCTCTTTTTGCATGTCTTCAGGCATTCAGGACATTGTGTTGGAGATCACAGCCCAGCGCCATACTCATATGTTCCGAATGGCGGCAAGTCCAAGAACAGAAAGGAAAGACAGATCCACACTAGAACACATCATCTAAAGGGAGTGAAACAGTTAATGACTCAGGTCTGTCTGCGGCCACCATTCAAGCCACAACAATTTCTGCCCAGGGCTGCGGCTTGGCACACACAGTTCTGCTCGTTTCCACAAGAGACAATAGTGAATCAGCAACGTATCCCTACTACGAAAATAGGCTGAACAATCATTCAGGGGATGTATGTCAACATCTGTGATCTCACATCTTTTCTGTTCGTCTTGGCAAGTGCAACAACTGCTGATACCCTCCTTGAAGACTTCCCTGTCAGCTTCCACTGCACAGCATGTCTAGCAACTAAAAATGCAGTGACTAACAAATGTAACAGATCAATCTGCGAGTATTACCAAATCCTGAAGGTTGAAATTAGCCTTGATGCGGCCCAGCAGTTTACAGAACTCATGATAGTTGTCCTGCTCACTGAGTCCTTGCTGTGTCCGCAAGATATCCCGTGTGCATGTCATCAGGCGACCTAACAGCTTGACCCGCTCTACCTCCACTTGAAACAGAGACCTTCTCACAGAGGCAAGCCGGACCTGTTAGCCAAAAGCAACAAAGTCATTTACAGCTGGTCTGCCTGGCGAAGGGATGTGTGGCGATGCATCAATCAAGCAGTGCAATGGCAGCAATGTGCATACATGCAACGGCATTCAATGTGGGTGTCAGAACTTTGTACATCAGCACTGCCCATTCTTCTGAAGCATCAAGATTATTTTGATCATTTTCAGCACACAATGTACAGCAGCTGGAC